AGAAAATGCAATCGTAACTGAAAGCAAAAGCCAAGTCATTCCAGTGTTTTCACCATTTACCCTAAATCCCTATTCCAAAGCTTGCGCAGATATATTTCTCAAAAAAAGATACATGAAAGTTCATCAAACCGGTAGACAATCGTTAAAGTTTTGAAGTGACCAAGGTTGAAATACAAATACTTTTTCTTTACTTTTGCTTCTGATTAATGGTACATGCAAGTTTTCTTCATAAAGGAAGGTTTTATACCATCAAATTCCCATTTGGAAAAGCCATTACCAAGATATTTGACAATCCCTGTTTTAGATTATCAATCTTCAAGAAAGAAACAAGAAAAGAAAAGGGGTTAGAGCATGAACCTTTTTCAATGCCATGACAAAAGGGTCATTCTTTGAAAGAAATGGTGCTACTCGAGGTGTTTTTGATAAAAGATACAGCCAAGATCGTATGTATGCAGGATTGACAGATAAACTACTCTCATCTGCAAAAATTTGGACACTTTTTCCCTGGTGACCATAGATATGCCTCTGCAAAAAGAGGAAAGACAATTTTAAACTAAAGGTACACATCCATGCCAAACAATGATAAAGCCATAATGTCTTTAGACACAAATGAACAACTATATACATGCTCTTATTATACATATGAATTAACAAAAGAAAATAAACAATCTTTACTGACTAGTTGGTCAGGCTCCCTACAATCTACATAGAATTACGACCAGTAAAAGACCGGTTCTGTTGTTACTTTCTACACATATTTCCTCTTTCCCCTCCTATTCTCACGAGCAGCCTACAATTCAACTGTCTTACAATAGCGTATTTGGGCCTTTGTTCCAATGTCTAAAAGATTACATCTCAATATTAATAAACATATGCAAAATACGATCATTTTCCTACAAAATTCTACTCGCAGATCATTTGATCTTACCGCAAGACTTTCAGCAACCAACTTCACACCTCTAACAATTGCAGTTTCATTCACATATTGTCTACAAAAAGAAAAATGTGCTCTCAGCTACTAGTCTCAAACACAAAGACACAAACACATGGTGGCAATAAGAATAATAAAGGCTTAGGTTTGAAAATATGACCCGCCATCAAACAGACCACCAGTGCCTTCGAAGAATTTTGGTGCAACAGAACGTCCAGAAAGAGTGGCAGCAGTGACTCTCAGCCTTGAGAACTGTTCATGCTCCCAAGCTACCTACAGCAGCTCAATTGCTTTATTACCTATTATAAACAACATACAGGCAAGCACAGAGAGTTTTCTTATATCTATCCAAAGAATGTTCTCATAAACATCTATCCACCGTTGTTGTAGTAAAGTCTGATGTGAAGCGGCAGAAAGAACATCGTTAATAGATTTATTTCAAGTTAACCATTGTCCAGTAAAAAAAATGTTCTGCCCACAATAGATCACAGGATTTTAAAGGACAAAGGGATTATTTTCGAAACAACAAAAATATTTTTTTATAGCTAACCGCAAAAATAAATTCATAGACATATCAACTTAAATTTTCATAGGCTCCTATAGCTGAAATTGATAATAAAATAAGTACTTGATTCAGGAAATGAATACAAATACAGTTCAAAAATTGGAACATGATATATCAACTTACTCGAGGATTGGAAATATTAATTTTCTTGTGCTTTAAGCCAACTTTGAGGTCCAACTCCTGAGCTACGTTAGAGAAACCCTTCAATAAACATTATGTATCAGAATATGAAACATGTTAAGGAACACCAATATCAATATGCTTTAAAAACCTATTATGCCGGACATTAGTGGCTTACCTCAAAAATTTGCTTGATGTAGGCATTCTCTGGAGGCTTGGACACATGAATCCATAATTCATTATCCCAAGAACCAATACTATTTAAACAAATAGCATAGTCGATACTCTCACGTAGACGTTGATCAAAACTCCGAAGCCACTGCACCACATATGATACTTATATGATCATAATAACCAAAATTGATAGCAATAGATAACCAAAATGATACACAGCCTTTGGAGAGGTAACAAAAGGATTTGTTCACCGAGGAACACTAATCACCTTTTGAGTCCCATTGTAGTTATATGGTCCACCAGATGTCAGGCCAAAAAGTAAATTGTACCTTCCTCTTGTCTTAGGGTTTGAGTAGAGAGAGAATAGCCTTGCCATTTCAAGAAGAGCCACAATGCCACTTCCATTGCTGTCACTTCCCACTGATAATGCCTGCATGAATAAAAATATTTACACACCTTCATTGTCGAGGTTCGGTTACTTACTCTGAAACCAAATGGTACGATCATACCAAATTGTTATGATCGCGTGTTTCAATTGATAGTGGGACTCGTCAAAGGGAACTTCAAACCTTCGACTCGTTTAGAGGGAAACTTAGACCTCTTAGGGTTTTTTCTTTTCTTAAAATCTGACTTAAACTTCATTAATGATGATAAGCCTCTTTAAATAGAGGTCACATACCTTATGAAAATAGAAGACCTACCCACTTAAGAAAGGCTTCTAAATTACTAATAAATATGACCTTTATAATAATAAACTTTTTATAATAAACTGACTGAAAAGATAAACTGCAACCTTGGTTTTAAAAAGCGCCCTAAAGCGCCTAGGGTCCTAGACGCCGAAGCGCTAAGCGAAAGCGATCGCTTTATGCACACGAAGCACCAGAAAGGCCGAAATTCACAAAAAAAATACAGAATATTTATAAATTATCTTATAAATACTTAAATATCAAAGTGTCACTGCATATATTCAAAAGTTATAAGTACTTAAACACCAAAATATAATTCTCAATTTACTTATAAGTTATAAACACTTAAATACTTATATACCATTAACCATACGACTATACGAGCATATTAATCTCAAAAGATGGTCTACACCAAAAGTAGTCTAAAGTGAGATGAACAAAAGTATTTTTCTAAACCCTCAATTCCTTATAACTAAAAATCCTCTAAATCGTCATTATCGTCGTCATCAACTAGAACAACACCATCTCCTTCATCACTAGACACTCCAATATCTTCTTTCATCTCATCTTCATCAACTAAGCATCTACGAGATGGTCTACTAGAGATAGGATTATGAGCAGGAGATTTTCCTTTATCATTTCGTGATGGTCCGGCTATTTCATTCGCATTTTTTACCCTAGCCCGCCTAAACTAAAAGCCGATCTAAGCCTGATAATCTAATAGCCCGCTAAACCCTAAACAATCCCAAAAATCGTATCTGCTAAAGCCCATAATCGTATCTTCTAAACTCGCGATTAAGCGCCGATTAGCGCTTTGCAAAAAGTGCTGCAAAAGCGCCGATTACTACCGCTTAATGAATTCGTAGTGTTTTTGCTATGCTGAAGCGCCAGGGGCCTGGCTCGAGTCGCTTAGCGCTTTAATCGCGCTTAAGCGGTGCTTTTTTAAACACAGACTGCAACACTGTTTTATTCACTGAAATTTAATAAAATACATACAGGAGCAGCTCCAAACGTATCATACGAAGCCACAATAGCAATGGTTGGAAGTTGATTTGCATCTCCATCATCTTTTAATCCAGACAACCACCCCTGTTATCACAAAGCAGAATTATCAGAGTGAAAACTTGTGGAAAACACCATTAATAACATTTTCAAGGTTACCCGTGTAATACATGCAGTGAGAAAAAAAAACTAGCACAGTAGCACTAGAAAATTAAACATGCCAATACCTGATGTCAAGAGGAGGCATAATTTATTAAAAAATTGAACATTGATGAAATTAAAGAGAACTACAATCATGCAGATATTTTACCACCTAGGGCCTTAAAAAAGCACGATTAGACAGCACAAGTGTGTGCTTGATCACGTTCATCTTGCCCAAAAGGTCTGAAGCATTGTTGTTGTCTGGCACTAAGGCACAGTCCCTAGGTGTGTTTAGGCACACGCCTTAACAACACTAAAATTGACCTAAGCCTCAACAGTTCGAATGCAAGAAGGGTATTGTTTTTCATACAATAGTAAAACACCAATTGCAACTAGTTTCCTTCACTTAGAGACGTAAAACTTGACACACACCTGAATATTAGTGATTGTGGGAGATGCAACTTTCTTAGGTTCTGCTATTGGGATAACAAGCTTGTATCTGCAATTATTTCACAATAAGATTTGAAAATAAGCAAATTACAATACAAGACTATTTACTCACCAACTTCAAAAGAGAAATGAGCCAAAGAATAAAAAGGGACAAACATACATTAGGGGTAGAGTAATATTACGGTTACACACACATGGTAAAAAAACAACAAAAAGAATAAACCAGGAAAATGCAGTAAGATTAATGTAGGATCCTAGTGAACAAAACAAGTGCATCAATTTTGCTCCTTCAGCTGGGAAAATGATCATTCTAATTTTATTTTTTTAAAATAAAAAGAGAAAAAAGGTAATATGTTCTCTCCCTCAATGATGCATAAAAGAGTTCAGACAAGATCCGTTTTCTGATACCAAACGAGCATCCCTATAGAAAAATGTGATATTGTCATGGCCCCACGGTTATTTGCTGAAACAGTTTCAAAAGAAAGCTTATTTCTTTTGCAAATCCCTTCCCCTTCTCAAAGCAAAAACTGGCAGATCAGAAGCATGTTCTTTTCTAGTTGAGGTAAATGTGTAATGAAAATCATTCACAAGAAAACAAATTGAACAGAATGGAACATGAACTTTTAAGGGACAAGGTAACCCAAATATATAAATGATAAAAGAAGCTGTCAACTGACCCGCCTGTAGTTGCAGTAGCAGGCTGACCCATTGCATCATTCTTCTTGATATCAGCCAACACAGTATCAATGTCATCATTCTCAAAAGCAAAATAGACAGGATACTGCAGCATAAAGATCCCACAGTAAAATTAAGAATCCAAAGCATAAGACATAAGAGAATCGAGGGGAGAGAAGCAGCAAACTTTTCTCTCGAGAAATTCTCTCCAATGAGTGACAAATACCAAATATTAATTTTAGAATAAAAAAACAAAGGATTTAAATAGTAAAAATCATATGAAAACGTAGAAATAGAGGACGGGTCTTTCATAGCTGATGGCACAAGCAGAACATGGATTGATGGTGTCACACCAATGAGTATGAGATCTAAGTATATACCATAATATAATTACTTTCTGAAGGAAAAAGTCTAACTAAAAATGCAAGAATAGCAATAACAAAGTTGGCTCAAATCCTAAATATGCATTGGTGCCTGAGTTATATATAGGATGTGTAAGAAGAAATTTCATGGTTTATGCTATTTTTAATTCAAATTAGTTGATATGAGGAAACAGACATCCTCACAAGATGGAAGCACAGATCAAGAATGTGGAATCTATATCTTTTAGACTCGGAAGGATTTTTGGAACAGTGGTTGAATAATTCGAAAAAGGTCAAAATATAAATTCAATCAAGATGATGCTAGTGTAAATAAAAACGATGCAGTACCACAAGTAATTTATATATATAAAAAAAGCATGAAGTTGACAGAGGTCAGATCTTGCTGAAAATTAGGCTGGCAAACAAGGAAACTTCAATCTCAATGCATAAATATATTAATATGTTTCTATGTACTCACAGGTATATTTGAATGTACAAGCAACTGTTCGAGCTCCACCAATATTTTTTTCAATTTCTCTTTTTCATGAACTTGCTTATTCCCTCCACGTTTAAAGCAAAGTACTTCAGGAAGCAAAAATAACAACCCTCCTAACGGCTTTTTCTGAGTAATATAATCTGCCAAGAAAGAAATAAACGAAATTAAACTAAAGGAAAAAATAGAGGGAAAATTTAACTGATGAAATGAAAGTGAACCTCGAACGAAGGTGACATTCAATTCGCGTAGAGGGATGATGAGAACGGCTCTGGAAAGATCGGCGCCAGGAGGGAAACGCAAGGAGGAGGCGTGGTGGTTGAGGGAGGCGAATCGAGATCCGAAAGGGGAACCGGACATGTCGTATTGGATAAGACGGTAGACGTCGACGGCAGCGGCGGCGTCGCAGAGTTCAACGCAGGCTACTAAAATGAAGAGCAGAGCGACGACGGAGTACATCGATTCTAACAACTCCCGGAGGCCGCCCGAATTCTTTGAAGTGGCCATCGGAGATTGGATCTAGGGTTTGGACAGAGTGAAAAAGAAAATTTGGGTTTATCTTATTTCTGTCTTTTTTAGTGCGAAAACTGTTAAGTGATTGTTTAATGGAGTGGAGCAGCTTCCATCATGTCGCTGTTCCTCAGATTATACGTAATAACTGCGTCCAGAATGATTAAAAATTTAACAACTGTTATACAAATAATATACTCTAAAATGAAACAGTAATTCATCTCTATAATTATCTTTACATTACCATCAACTCTATTTTATTCATAATATTTAATTATTAGTATGTTTATTTTTTTAATTTCAATGTATTTTTATATATCTTACAATTTAATCTATTTGAATTTATTATATTATATTTAATTTTTATTTATTGTGTAGAAACTACAATAAAAAAACATAAAAGATAGAATAAGAGAAAATAATGTAACAAAGAAAATAAAACTACTTCCGGTTCCTATAAAAAGGAAATAATCAAGCTGCTTTCGAAGCTAGGGTCAGTTGGGTGAAACTTTGCGCCCCAGATTAGAAGGAGGGTTAGGTCTTAAAAACATTAAATCCTGGAACACAGCTTTTATGAGCCATCTTATCCGAAACATTCTCACTGCTGAAGGGTCTCTTTGGGTCGCATGGCTTTACTCCTATGTTATTAAGAATGAAGACTTTAGAGACATGGTAATAAAACCTTCTCACAGCTGGAGTATCAAGAGAATAGGGAAGCTTCGTACTACTGTTTTTCCCATTCTTAGTGCAGGAGCTAAAACTACTAAAGAGATTTGGTAAGCAATTAGGGACAAAAGAATTAAGGTTCATTGGCATAAAATCATATGGTTCCCTTCCCACATTCCAAAAATCAGAATGATTGCTTGGATGGTCATCCTAGACAGACTTCCAACTCGGAAAAGACTGTCTCGGATGGGATTTGTTCTTGATCAAAGCTGCGTGTTATGTAATGAGACCATTGAAACAAGGGATCACCTTTTTGTTGAGTGCAGGTTTGCCAAAACCCTATGGAGTTTCATTCTCAATCTAACTCACCTGAGACTAACTCATATGACTTGGGGAGAAATGACTAATTGGGCGTCAGACAATTGGAAAGGTAAATCACTCCTTTCAACTATACTGAAACTTGTTTGGACCTCGTCCATCTATCTGTTATGGGAGGAGAGGAATAGAAGAATTTTTCGCCGAGGATCAAGAGATGCTTAACAAATTCTGTCTACCATCAAAGAGTTTGTTTGAATCCAACTTAGAGGCAAAAATATTAATAGAATAGATAATATTAATTGTAATTTATGCTATAATTGGGGTATAGTTTAACCATTTTTTGTTGTAAGTATTGGTTTTACTCCCTTTTGGGTCTGTTGTAGCTACATTGCTATTTGGATAATAAAAGTTAACTTATCCAAAAAAAAAATAACAAAAGAAAGTAAAAAAAATAACAAAAATCAAAAATCAGAAAAATAAAATAATAATATGTAGCGCATATACAGTGCAACTCTAGATGTTGAGTATCACTATAGCTTTTCTCTACTCTAGCGTTAAAAGTGGATATGGGATGGAATTGAAATTTATCTCTAAAGTGGAGATTTTATCCACTCTAACGATACGCTGGAGATGGTCTTAATATGTATATATTGATATTTGTTTTATTTTAAAAAATATACCACAAATAATTCAAATCTAAATTTATGATACTTTGAAGAAGAAAAAAACCCGTGTTAGGTATTTTTCATTTTCTCTCTTTGAAGAGTCTCCTTACCTGTGTGGTAATTTACTGGGGTGTGTTTCCAGTGTTTTTCTTTTATCTTGCTTAGATAAATTACGCTAGTGGGATAGGGAGATTGTTTCTATTTAACAAGAGGGTGTTGTCTATGGGAGAGATTGAACAAGAATTAGAAAACTCCAATTGAGAGAGGAAGAAGAGGAGGCTCTCAATTTAGGAGAGTCGGGGAGTATTGTGCAATTGTCTTTTGATTATTGTTTGGTTGGTTGATTTTTCACGGAGTACAATGGTGAATTTTCAAGCGATGTGGACTACGATTGCTAATGTTTGGTGTCCGATAGAGAGAATCTCGATAACTGAATTGAGGGAGGGTCGATATCTATTTCATCACTATCTTGATGAGGATGTAGATCGTATCATGATGGGAGGGCTATGGTACTTTACTACGCATATGCTAATTCTACATCGATTGGGTGAGGGAGAAAATCCGACAACTGGTTCGTTCCACAAAGTAGGATTTTAGGTCTTTGTGAAGGATATACTGATTGGTTCTATCTCGGAGGCGGTGGCAAAGTGGTTTGGTAATTTTCTTGGTACTTTTATTGATTACGATACTAATGCTGTCTCATTAAGATACAAAGGGTGTCTACGAATCAGAGTGGAGTTAGATGTGTAGATGCCCCTCAAACGTCGAAAAAAACTAGCACTTGCTCATGGAGGGTGTCATAACCTTTTTAAAACGTTTAAATTTTAATAATAATTATGACTCATTTTTGAAAATTTGGATTTTTTTGTTTAATTTGAATTTTAGAGACATCAACCTTTGCGTTATGTATATCAAATATCTAAAAAAATGTCTCTTAAAAATAATTTTAAGCAAAAATCATTTTTAAGACAAAAATTAATCCGCGTTTACCAAAAATTCATTTTAAAGGGTTCGAGAATCAGTTATGCACGAGGAATGGTGAGCACTCCACAATGTCCAAAATTAATACCCTTGATTATACATTGTCTAAAGCGATGGGATTTTACACATTCGAATTCAAAATTTAAACTACCATCCTTTCTATTTCTATGAATTTTAAAAGAGTTAATTTCATTATTTAAAAATATCCGACTCGATAAATTGCTTAATTCACTCGATATTATTTAAAGAAGGATGTTCCCTTACTACGTGAATTAACAGAAATTAAAATCCGATTATATTAGACGTGATTTCTTTGACCCACAACATAACACAACATTGCCTTTAAATTTTCAAAGGGATGAGAAAGTAAATGCATGATATATGAACGTGATAATAATGAACAACACATGTAGAGAATAACGAAGATATTAATCACAACAAATAAATAAAAATAAGAATTAAACATAAACGAATAAATAACGTAAAGTAACTAAACGATAAATAAAGGGATTCGTAAAAGAAAATCGACTATTTATTACTATATCCAAGTATATAATTTAAAACATTAAGAATATAAGTAACATATTAATTAGCAAAGAATTATTTAAAGTACATTTGATTAACCTAATAAATAGCAACTAATCATATCATAATAATTTTATTCGAATAATTGCTTGGAAGGACAATCTAGGTATTTGAGGTCTTCCCTAGATTAGTCGAATAATTAACAAATAATTTTATATAAATGCTCAAATAAATAAAAAACTTTCTATATACATATATATTTTTTTAAAAGTTCAAAATATCATTTGAAAATACAATGCACAAATATATATATATATATATATATATATATATATTATTTCCCCTCCCATTTATGTATCAAAACCAAAATAAAATAATATATAACAAAAATAAAGTACTATATGGGCTAGATTGAAGCCGAGATAACATGCAAGGAACTAATAAATCATTTAATCTTAACATTTTATTTAGTAATAAACTATAAAGGATGATTAAAATAAATATAAGGCAAAATTATAAGGATCATAAATGTAAATAGAGTACTTTCCAGTATGTAATACACTGTGGGACGAAAATGAAATAAATCTCAAATAAATGCATAAATTTATAATTAAACCCTTTTTATTCATAAATAAAAATTAAGGATCACAAATACGAGGGACCAAACCAGTTATTTACCTCCTGAAATCAGAAAACACGGGAGACATGGTAGCAAAACTATGTCGTTTCACTGGTATATATATATATATACACACGTAATTATGAGACAATTGGGAACCCTAGTTCTCATTTGTTTTAGCCGCCTAAAATTAAAGGGGAGAGGGAGCCCTAGAATTGTCCGAAATCCTTCCCCCACCGAAGGGAGATCCGCCATTCAAAGGCGTCGTCGCGACGGCCATAACTCGAGTTAACCAATCCAAAACGACTCTCTCAATCTCTCCGTTTTAGATCTAGGATCCTTTTAAAAGAAAAAACCACCGATAGCCTTAGATCTAACCCTTTTTACCTTCGTTTTTCTTTGAACGTCTCGACGCTGGTAAGAGAAAACCACCGTGGTCTTTAA